TTATTATATCCCCCACACAGGGATTTCCTGTGTTGAGGCCAGATAGTCTCCTTCTTTTGAAATGTTAACGGTACTTGACAATAATTTCTACATAAGGCATTTTATAATCATTAAAAAATATTATATAATAAGAATATTTTCTATTCTAGCAAAAATCTTCTCAATGTTGCTTAAGATTGTACATATGTATAGATTTGAATCGTTAGTGACCATTTTGTTTTAAGGTAATGTCTCTTTTCATCACAGCGTAAACACAATTTGACAGAAAGATACAAAAGATTACTTTATTTAACTATGGTATTAATACACTTACACACATTTTACACTTATAAAACAAAATAACTATGTTATCTAAGAGCAGCGATTATATACATTTGGCATCATATCTGCGATCATGTTACAGATAAATACGAGATGAATATAAAAGTTGTCGTAAATTGTATTTAATGGGCAATTTTAAAAAAGGTACTGCACATATTCTACTCTGCTGTGTTCACAATATCACGCCAATGCGTCGCTAAGCCGCTTTAAGAATCACAGGATATCGAAAACAGTTGAATTTTCTCTTATAATATATTTTAATATTCTTAACAGTTGTATAAAGGTTTCATTAAGATTTTTGTAATCTATATCGTATCAAGAACTCAACGAAGTCTGAACTAATTATAATTGTTCACACAAATCAAAGTAATGACTCTATAATGATAGAGGTTGGTAAGCCACATAGCTCTTACCAATTGGGAAAAGATTAAACATTCAAATTCATGTTCATACATTTGTGTATTATAAGTCTTTTTTGGAAACAAACACCGACCACACTACATAATACACAACGCAAACCTTATGTAGCTTAAGCTTCCCAAAAAAGCTAACGCACTTTCTTCGCCCTATTAGCGGGCCTAATGAGTCTTTGTTCCGCGCGATACTAAGGCTACATCAGCGCTACAGATATTGAGGGATATCTTGGTGTCACTGTCATTATTGGAAGTTGCAGAATAAGGGCCCAGTGCTTAGATTGCATTAAATATGTACCGTGAAAATATAATACATATAGGTACATAATCGGCATTGTTTGTGATAAGGAATAATCTCTAATATGGCGTAATAACACAAATTGCTTTTAAAGACTTAAAAGAGCTTAAACTATGATATGATAGTAATTATGTTTGCTTTTTGAGATTGCATAAAGTTATGATATAGAATTAGACAATATAAAGGCCATATGCTGGGAATGGCAGCCAATATTGCAAGGAGACCAGAAAAACAAAAATAGGAAGGCGATGGGCTGACGACATGTTAAAGGTTTCTAGAGAGAAATTGATGGAGGAAGTAAAGATACAAATAGAAAGTTCAGGAGGAGCCTTTTATTAAAAAGGGGTCCATACTGCAGTACACGAAGGAATAAAAATAACTAACGTAGACAAAGTGTATACTAACAAAACTAACCCATTTGAAGTTTTTATAGTACGAAAATTTAGTGGCTTTCTTATTATTATTACGAGTATTAGGAGGTATTAATCCTCTTATATTAATAGCACAAACGATCAGTTCAAATAAAACTATACTTCAGTTTCATTCTGTCAATTTGTATTCGAGGTTAAAAGACACATCAACACCGGCTCTAAAACTTTGGCACGGTACAAAACTCAAAATTAAAGTCGAGATCCCTTTTGCCATTAGGAGATACAACGTACCAATGCAGTTGAAATTTAAACTAGTAATAAGTTCTGTAAGGCGGGTAATATTTATAGTGTTTTATGTAATATATAGGCAAACGGGCTAGAGGCTCACCTAATGTTCATTGCTCACATTGCCAGAAGGCTCGCAAGTGCGTTGTCGGCGTTGTAAGTAAGTCGAATTCGCTTGGTTTCACTTCGCTATGTTAAATATCCTTTTTAGTAAATTAGGTTAGTTTCAAATTATGTACTTATAAGTCTTAAGTTAGGCTACATCGTAATGTTAAATTGTGTATTTGTGCTGACAATTTATATAGAAAAATATTTGACTTCGCGGGCAACTGTTACTATTGCAACTGTGACTTACCCCACTGACCTATTTCAACGTTAGCATACTGATCTAATCGCCTATTTTAAATGCATTTGCATTTTTCTTCACGTGTTCTTACATAAACAAAATTTACTAAAATAGTAGTAAGTGGTATATGGGTTATACCAAAGTATTTGTTTTGCTTTTGGAGATTTTAAAGAATGGTATTCTGCAATATAAAATCCAATTATGGACTTGTGGCGTTTTAATTAGACTTCATAAGTTCATAATATATAAATCAGTAAAACAAAATAACATGAAATAATTTTTGAATTCTTACGACCGATTTCATTAAAAAACAGCTTATTTTGGATATCTTTGTGAGAAGCTCTCTAACCAGCAAATTTAGGTGCGCAGGTAAAACAAGTGAAAATGTATAGCCATACACTCCGAAGAGCTTCCAATTATATCCCCAAGCAGGCGCTTAATTGGAACCCGCAAGGAAAGCGGAAGCGTGGCTGCCCAAGCAAACCTAGCATCGTATGGGTGCAGATGAGGTAATGAGAGCCAGAAAGACTTGAAGCGAGGTGAAATACGAGACTCGAGAGCGAACGCAATGGAGACTAACTGTGGACGACCTCTGCCCCAAGGTTAAAGGACATTAAGTGAATTCAAGTTATTTTGGATGTGTTCAAATTTCTTTGAATAGTTCTAAGGAAATGAATCTGTTGGTAACAGCCAGGGAGTCCCGGGTTCGCGCGACTAGATATTTAGTCATTTTTTTTATATTTCAAAAATAAATATAGCCTGTATTACTCGAGAATAGTGTGGCATTCTAATGGTGAAAGAATTTTTAAATCAGTCAAGAAATACTTGAGTTTATTCGTTACAAATATAGAAAAATCTTTCCTCTAAATAATATTAGTACGTCTATAGATAAACGTGAAGAAACAGTTAACAGTGTTGGTTTTTTTTATAGGAAAATTATGAATGCTTTTGCAAAATTGATGTCAATTAGATAATTGGATGACCCTGGGCGCTAAACAGCCGGAAACAGATCAAATTCGAATGGGAAGACGGAATTTTCTCCGCGCCTAATGTCAAGTTCCTTCCCAGTAATTTATCGATATCCTCCGAGGGACCTATTATTGGAAACGACTCAGCTATATTAGCTATTGGTTTTATTAAAAGATAAATTTTAATACAGTAAAGTACAGAAGATAAAAAACAACTGTGTCAAAATCCTGAAGGCGGTACCACTAAATATCAAGTTTTCTGCCGAGTAACATATATTTTTGTGACACGGGATTCATAATTTTGCGCTAAATATGGCGTAATAATCACAATAAGTACCAAAATTTTAAGAGGGAATTAAAACTAAACGTATAATTGATAATACCAGTCAATTACAGCAAATTAAATACTTTTTCTATCTATCATATTATAAAATATGTTTCTTAAATTGTAAACATTATATCGTGAAAAGTAAAAGATAATTCGTTAACAACATCGTTTAAACCACCACAGTTCACATAAACCAAAAAGCATAGATTAAACAAGGCAGGTGTCAAATTAAAGATTAAATAGCCGTAGCCTTGAATTTCACATGTTAAATGTCAGTTTTATCATGTCAATAATAGCGCACGCATAAATAGAATGACGCAGCATCACTTGGCAACGGTTTGGCGCCTTCCGACATGTTTGTTTTAACACATTTATGGGGCATTCAAAATGTATTGGTAATTTATATTATACTGAAATCTGGCTTCGCAGCAGTGCTTGTTTGAAATATAATTTATATTGTATATTAATCAATATTTCAGGGTGAGATTTAGTAACGAGACGTTTAGTTTATTAGACAATATTTGAACGAGCTAAAGTTAGGAACTAATTTAAATGTAATTATACAATTAGACAACACAATCCTACTATGGAAGGGTATTTAAAAAAGGATTGTCATTATTAGCAAGAAAATTCTAGATTAAGATCTTTCAAGAACTACAATAACATTTTTTTTTGTTTTCATAAAATCATCAACGCTCTCAATCCAGAGGTATCACGAGTGCGTTGCTGGCCTATTAAGAATTGGTACGCTCTTTTCAGCCACATAGTGGTGGTCTGCAGCAAAAACTGCCTTAAAAAACGCTCAGTTGTGGAACGACGGACGTCGAGGTGATACGGATGGAATTTCGTATTCTGCCTCGACGACCGATGATGAAAATTTACTGTAGGCTATATTCAGAAATGAAATCACATGGTATAGACGACAGAGTATGAAACTCCTTATTGCGTTGTTAATTCAATTGTTTTCACATAAAACATAAAGCAAAACCAGTTCAACGCGAAAATTGTAAACACGAAACCAGTTTGAAGCGAAAATTGGAATAGATATAATAAACAGAAGATTTGAAGAAATAAACAAAGTTCTGTCAAGATTAGTACTGGACATTGGCCATGTTATTTACTGGGATTAAAAATAACTGTATATGGCAACTGGCCATATGATGAACTCGTACTATAGTGATGTAAGATATCGTTAGATGGCAATAGAAATAACTTAGGATGTTTACGTACGAGAATGCTCGCTGATAGAGAGGTAAACTTTAGTTTTGAGCCTAAAGTAAATGTTGGCATACGAACTTTTCAGCCCAGTTATAGACTTTTACTTACAGGAAATACACTTTACGAGAGTAGATCGCTTTCATAAAATTCCGACGCTTATAATATTAGCAAGGTTCAAATATAAAATTAAAACTATATTTATACGATTTAATAATCTTTTAGATTACAAACAAGCTCTATTCACTGCTAATTTTTAAAAAAGAAAATATTTTTTAATTTTTCAATCGAAGCGTAAATTGCTAGATATTTAACCAAACAAAAGAAAAATCGATGAGATGATTTATGTGGAAGACATAATTATTCTTTGTACCTTTTTTGACAATAAAATTAATATTTGCCAAAAATCTGGATAGCCATAGCTTATAAAAAAGTAGTTACTTTATAAAGGAAACTTACCTAGTAATGTAGTCTTGCTTATCAGCGATCATTTGCAAGCTGATTGCATCACGGAGTTGCATAACAATCGCCGCTCTTATAGCTTCTACGCATCTTATTTCTTCTATTGTTTCTGATAGTACCTTGAAAAAAATCAATAACTATACATCTAAATTATTATAATATAAGGTCTATTATAAGTTCTTAATAATTTATTTGTTTATGTCATGCAATAATTATTGAAGTCTTCATTTAATTTTTTTTATAATTGATTCAACTATTCAGGCGTAAATTAGCTTGGACTTCTCAGTGCCAAGTAAAATTATAAAACATACCTCTACATCATCAGAATACAACGCAGTATTCTTGAACAGCTCCCGCTTGAAGACCGTCACAAATGGTCCTTGAACACCCCCAACAAACTTTTCACAGTTGAAGAACACTGCGTCCTTTTTCACCATGCCTTCTTCGACGCCGGGAAACGTCGGATTCATGTCAACAGCCGATGTTGGTGCTACCAGGGTGTAATCCCAGAAAGACCAAGCCCTATACTGATGAAGTAGTAATGTGGTAGCCACATCATCAGCCAGGACTCCAGTGAGTTTTGAGGCCGCGGGAAAGAACCCGATCATTCGCTTTCCCGTTCCTGTGTTCTCTTGTAATTTGTGCTCTAAATTGTTAAGGTCAATGAACCCTTCTTTTGTTTCTGGTATCTTGATTAACTGGAAAGATAGGAAATTTTATTAGTATTCAATATCCGTTTGGATTGATACAATCTCTCTATAATAATGCGCGCGAATTCGTCTTCTTCGAAGTAAATACAAAGTTGCCGAGCTTAACCATGTGACTCACGTTTGAACCTCGTCTTTAATGGATTCTTTTCATGAGTGTTTGTTAACTATGGTCGTCAGGAAAGAAAAACACGAAACAAACACCAACAGTCCAGTATGTTTAAGCAAAAGTCGAACGTCAGGCACCGAAGACTGATAAAGAAAGAATAAATATAGAGGATAATAATAAATAGACGTAGGTGCGTCTGCTTCATCATAAGGGCGTTACGGAATTTTATATACATATTTAGGATCGATACTCCATCGCTTTTGTAATTGAGAATCAGAATCATTTGCGAGGAGATGAGAAAGTCGTTATAATGAAGGTGAACTATTTTTGTTAAAAAAGACTACACTTTGCAAGTATTTGTGGTGAAAAAAAAAAGAAGAATAAACTATAAAAAAAATATTTTCTTTTAAAACCATATTTTTCTTCGGAGTGGATTTTTTTGCTAAATGAGGATCGTCTAATGCCATATACGAACAACTTTCATTTTGCATATTAAATTTGTTGCGACTTCTCACTGCTCCAATAATCATTCCCTAGTGAAAATACCCTATCAACAGCAGCATTAGTGCCTGGACAACTAAAATAATCTAAAAATATTTTAGAAATAGAAATGAGTACTTTCAGAAAAACGAGTATAAAACTCAGTAAATAAGTATAGTTGGTCACCATATAATATAATGCTGTTGTTTTTTTATACGTACTACAGTTATCCAGTATGAATATACTAAGTACAAGGAATTCAATAAACACAATTAACAATTGAAATTCAACACAGTTTAAGACAAAGCCTGTTATATACAAATTGCGTCCGTTTGTCCTTCACCTCTAAAACAAATGTTTTATTCAACGTATTTAGAATCGTAAATTTCAGTTGTAACAAAATAAGAATCCATAATGGATATACTTGAACATGAGTTTATGTTTCGTTTTCAATAATTTTATCAAATGCTTTTGAACGTGGTAATGCACTTTTACTAATCTCCAGAGTTTAAAGAGAGTAAATAATATACCTTAAAATTTGCATTAGCGTACGTTTGTTACTTTTTTTGGAAATTCCTTAGTGTACTTTTTTATGATACAAATATTATTTTTTTATCGCAGGTAACTTTTGTACCCTTTTGTTTATTTATAAAGGTCAAAACAGTTTAAGTCTCGAAAATTTAAAGATTTGTATTCTGCACGTTTTCCAAGTAGGCGTAGAGGCCTAGGCTGTTGATGATTACTTCCGTTTGTCAAAGATGGCATTTCTCAAATATAAATATTCAGCTCGTAATTTCACTCATTTAAAAAACCGAATGTGGGATGTAGGAACAAGGTATGCTTAGGCATTTTTTTCTTTGTATATTTTATTCTAAGTGGCGTTTGTGTTTTAGAAAAAAAAGGGATGAAGACACACGGAAGAAGTGGCTATTTGATACTATATTCGTTCCTGATCCAAAGATGAATGAGAATGGCTTCACCGTGGATGGTGAAATCGGGACCAAATCCTGGTACTAAAAAAGGAGTTAAAACTACGCATACGGCATAATGATTAGTATGCACGGTAAAGGTCACGGAAGTGGGTGAAGCGAGAGAGGGATGTCCGAACTATAGCAAGTATAGATCCGTAGTCTCTGCCTGCCCCTTTAGGAAAAAGGCGTGATAATATAAATAAAATAACCTTATATCGATTCGTCAAATTTGAAATTGAAAGGTGAACAACCGTTTAACCAGATTACATCGAGTACATGCCACTCATTTTTATAAGGTTTCCTTTGATGGCTACGCATTATACTTACGTAATCTATAATACTCGGTAATGGTCACACATATATTCCTGCTAATATTAAGTGAACTACTACTAGTAGTAGGTTTACTAACGTATGAATCAAATTTCTGTTTGTTTTGAAATTATTAGTTTTTTTCTATTAGGCCTTCCTTGGCTTAGACACGCCGTCGACTTTTTGGGTCCAAGGCATGCTGGTTTCTTTACGTTGCAAGTATACAGTATAGAAATAAATATATCAATATAGTACAAAGTAAATAAATATAGTATTACTTGCTCTCCTTTTTATATAGTAAAAGGAGAGCAACTTCGTAGAGTCTCTCCGCGCTTTGTGAACTTGATATTTTGGCTTGATATATCGAATGTATACGGTATGTCGTAATCCCCAAAGATGTTAGAAAATTGGGCTCTTTGTCCAAAGACGTCTATAATCGCAGAAATTTTTTACATTATAATTAAATTATTAAGAAAGGCTATTCAACTTTAACGCGCTCGCTACAAGATCGACTTTAACGCCGACGCTATTTTGATAAAATTACATGCATTTAGCAGTTAATACACACGCTGATTATTTTTTGATTGGGTCTGACGTTTTAAATAAAATGATGGCTAAAATAACCTACAATCAGATCATGACTAAAAATACTGTACGACTATTAAGCCGCGCTATAAAAACTCTACCCGTAAACACTAAACGTTTTGAATACAAAATCATACGACATAGAATAATTTATAAATTCTGTTTATATTTTGCGACGATACTACGCATGCCTGTCATAAACCAACCCGGAAGTCGATAGCCCACAGCTATAAATTCAAGGCCTAGGGGAAGCCGCCCTTCGTGACCGACCCTCAAAGTTGGTACTTGGTTCGTTGTACGTTTGTAGTAAAATTCATGGACATTTGAACTATAGTGCAATTTTGGTTTAAAGTCCTGAAATTAAAATTTACTTTAATATTGCAAACAAATCATTTCAGTGAAAGGCATTTTTCCAAACCAAACCCGAGTACCACCGACGCAGCAGAGGCCCTCGGAATCTGTTTCACTGTCCACCTAAGCTAAGAGGGCATTCGATCCACAAGAAAAAGAAATATTTCTTAGCATTAACCATCTTTGATCTTACATCCAATATGTCCATTAATTAATAAATTACAAATATAATGCGCTCTAGAACTTGATTCCGATCCAGGCGTGAGCCTCCAAAGCCTTATGGCCATAGATAATATAAATGAATAAACATTTAATGACAAACAACTTAACCAATTTCTTAATGACACTGGAAGGAACTAGCGTTTAAGATACAGGCTAGGCCTAGCTTAAACGCTAGTGCTCATAGAAGTATATTATGTATAAGGTTAACCACAATGAATATTGTATCTCAACGATTCGTAGCCTAGTCTATGTGTACAATCTTTAAAATGTAAGTACAAAATGTAAAAGTATTTTACTATTATTTATAGACCATTTGCTTAAATACTAAAATTAGTTTAATTCAAAGTCAGTACATGAATAAGGTAAAAGACGTTTCAATGACATTGCGATAGTCTAGTATTACGTAATATAGGTTATGGTTAGGCGTGACCTAAGCTGATAAGAAAAATTGCGAATGAAAACATGTTTTATACTTTGTTTTGTGATGTTTTGGTTATTACTAAATTTATCTTAAAACAGGTTCAATAGTAAATAAACGATAACAAACGACCATAAAATATTTTAGTGAAAACATAGATTTTAGGATTAATTTCGTAAAGTATTTTTAATACAAATTATGGTTCTTATTTGCCAAATGTGTTTTTCTACGTAAGTTTTTTTAAATTATTTTTCTTTTCAAAACAACTTCTCAACGTTTAATTATGCTCCAAGTTATTCAAATCGATTTAAAAATAAGAGTCGCAAAAAATACATTAATTTTAACGCGTAACGAGAAAAACAAACACTAATTTTATACGCTTTAATCAAGAATACAATTTACTACAAGTGTTATCAAGGTGTTTTTCCTTATGAAGGTATTTTATTGAAAAAGTCAATACTAAAATAAATTTATACTTGCTGTTTATATTATACTTACATAACGCAATTACGTCAATATTTTTAATTAGAAATGACTATCATAAAAACTACATCAAATTGCACCCTTTTAACTGTATTCTATCGTCTCTTTCTTTCAAATCATGTTTACGCTGTGACAGAAAGGGCCAGTGAGTTTAATTAAAACGAAGATATTTGCATAAAATTTTACACAAAATTCGACTCAAAAATACAATTTTCGTGTCGCTCCGTTAAAAGTTAGAATTTATTTTCAAATGATAAGGAATAAAAAATAAATCAGAGGCGCTACAACCTTTTTAGGTCTGGGCCTCAGATTTCAGGATCTGTTTCATGATAATTTGCCTTATAGGCAAGCAGATGATCAGCCTCCTATGCCAGACACACACCGTCGACTTTTTGGGTATAAGGCAAGCCGGTTTCCTCACGATGTTTTCCTTCACGGTTTGAGCGAATGTTAAAGACAAAAGCAAATATAAAGAAAGTATATACGTGCACAGTCGGGGATCGATACTACGACCTCAAGAATGAGAGTCGCACGTTGAAGCCACTAGGCCAACACTGCTCACCAATAGTCAATATATTATATCAATGTGTACGCACAGAATGACCGCAAGAAAGAAAGACGAAGAAAGCAAGAAAACTCACTTCAGCACCGCATTCTTTCCAGGGCGCCAGTTGTCCATCCGTTTCCCGTGATGATACAAATACCACCACCCTCTGGGGCTGAAGCGTTCTAAGGAACCGGGTGAGAGATGCCCCAAGGACCACCACATCTTCGGCACAGGCTCTTACTGCTCTGCGAATTATATCCTTCGATTCACACCTGAAAAACCGTACAAAAATTCCATTGATAGTTTTTCAGTTTATCGCATTCAAACTTGATCGCAAGTCTTGAATATATAAGAATACTTACAAATATAAATATACATATACAAATTTGAGCGATTCTATTAAAATGAATGTATAAATTTTAAGGAAATGTTATTACTTAGGTTTAAAGAAGTTTATTCTCATTAAAAAACATACACATGTCATACTTGCATGACAAAAATAAAATTAAAAACATCAAAAGTAAAATATATTACGCCACCATCGTACGGTGTTATTGTATTAGAATCTACCAAAAAAGTTCGCAGGCGTATTCGAAGCGGCTACTGGCGTGGGGTGGACGTTAAATATAATGCCCGTGTGCTTTTAATGTTAATTTATATTTAAATTTAATTTATTTGAAGTCCAATTTCAGTTCCGTAAAAATCACAGAATGAGTAAGCTGAACATCTGTGGCACATGCGCGTTTACCTTTAAGAACATGATTATATTTTTTTAAATAAAATTGAAAAGGATTTATATAAATAAACATTAAAAGCTAACATGTGTATTTGGTTATGTATTTTTTTACTAAAATGCAATATGTGTATTTATACAGCTGCTTAATGTTCATTAATGTTGTGTCATTGTGTATACTTACCGGAATATTTCCGTTTGTCCCGATGTAAATGATAAAGCAGTGCTGCGTATTGCATGTGTCGGCAAAACATCGCGCTGTATGTAATCCTCAATCCAGTTTAACGCGCGACCAGATCCACTGTAGTCGCAGTACACAACTATTAACAAAAGAAAAGTTGTTGAAAAAATATCGATGCCTCAAGGAATTGTGGTAAAGACCGCTAAACCCGACAAGGAACGTTCAAGGGTGTAGCACATTTGACAGATCTTTGATATTATGATATTTTTATGGAACGGGAGGCAAACGGGCTGGAGGCTCACCTGATATTAAGTGATACCATGGACCCTCACATTGCCAGAAAGATCGCAAATGCGTTGCCGGCCTTTTAATTGGGACGCTCTTTTCTTGAAGGAGCCTAAGTCGAATTGGTTCGGATATACTTCAGTGGGCAGCTGGTTCTACATAATGTTGGTGTGCGATAAAAACTGCCTTAAAAATGCTCAGTTGAGGAACGGCGGTCGTCGGGGTGATACGGAAAATTAAATTTAAAGATCGTAGTTTTGGACGTTTTTGAAGATTTTAAATGTTATTATGACGCTTGATCAACTGATAATTTGTAGATATCGATATAAATTATTATTTAATTAATACATAATTAAACTTAAAGCCATAGCAGTATTAAATCAGGCTGAAGGTGAGAAGAAATGTTTACCTAATATCTCAGTAATCTATTTAGTCTAGCAGTAGCATTCATAAGCAATACAATCTTTTTAAAAAGTTCTTTTACTGAACATCCTCTTTAGGCGTCTACCCCAGACGCCATTTAAAACGTTTTGAGGTATACAATACCATTTTTGTTTACATTTTGAAAGATCTCAAGCCCTTACCGAAAAATCGTGCTTAAAGCGAAAAGCGTGTATTGAGGACAAAGGCAGGAAAATGAAAAGCGGTGCCTGGGGGCACACTCGTGAGTTCAATGACCTCTGTCAAGCCTGTGTCAGGCAGGTTGGGCTTTTGATTTACATACACTAATTAGAACTATAATTACGGTCACACCTTGTTTTAATTAGAATAAAACTTTTACACATGTTTTGGAATTTGGATAATTAGTTAAAAGTATAAATAACTTAGTGATTAATGTAATTATATAAATAATACTACAATTACACTTTAGCGAAATCAAGCCAAGAAAACATCGATATTTTTTTGCTAGCTTAAATATCCACTAAAATAAGAATCATTCAAGAATATATTTTCACTTTCCGAATGACAATTAACGCACTGAAATCTTGACGCTTGTTTAGGTGTGTACCAAGCATAAGTCATAGGGACTGGCTGGATCAAAGAAAAGCGTTTTGGTAGGTTATTAAAATTATGAAAATTTAATTGAATTTTTAAAAGCTTAACTAAATATTTGCTATGTATGTAATCACAAAATAATCAGTACTAACCTTGAAAGTGTATCATGGTAAATAGATAAAAATAGTAGTGATTTGTAACCCCGATCGAGGCCAAATTCGTGACATTTACGATAAGATAATATTTGCAATTTAAAAAATTATTAAAATCGGTTTTAATCAGGAAATGTATGAACAAAATTTATTAGCTGTCGTTAATTTTTCTAAGAATCCACCGTATGCGACAAGATACTCACAATTGTTCCATGTGCCTATAATTAGCCAATGTTTCAGGTTTTATCTAACTATGACAATAATTATGATGATGTTGATATTTTCCACCTCACCAAAGAGGATGTGAGGAAATATTTGAAGAGGCGGGAAGACTGCCTTTGTTTAGCAGTAACAATTTGGTTTTTTCTTATTTATTAAGTATTAATTGTCGGTTGTTTACTGTTAAATTTCAGTTTTCTTTTATTTTTTTATTTTTGTCTATTAATGTACTTACTTATGTTTTCTGTTTCATATTTATTGTTTACCTATGTAATCAGTTTTGGCTTTGTATATTGTCTAAGTGTTTTGTTTTATAATATGGATGTTAGCTGTAAGAATACTAATAAATAAATAAACTGTTCGAAAATAAAAGCAACTTTTTTTGTGAACAGAATAAGACAGATGTACGAGGCTAGTACAAAATTTCACACATTCAAATATTTACATTTTAATGGATTTTTAAAAGGAAAATAATGATGCGCAGACGCTAATCAAATGATAACTATCCTCAACATAACAAAACTAATTCTACAAAGGTATTTTAGACCACCATAAGATCAATAAACTAAAGATTATAAAGGAATAATACTTTAACCAATAACATAGGCAAGTCTAAACATAATATATATCCTAAAAATATATATTATCGCTGCACAATCGTAACGACAATACTTTAATCCTATACAGATAGTAATTAAATAATAATCGTTATAAAACTAGAAATCATAGTAATATTAATCAGTATAATTATTGCCTAATTTGAATTAGGTATCTTAGACCAAAGCGATATTTAACGATTTATCAAAAGTTAAATAAAGGAATTAAATTTACACCAATTTTAAGAGTATAAGATTATATATGTTAAAGTTTTATAGTATTAGAAGTAATCTAGCTGGCATGATACTAAAAATAAAATAAATCAGTGGCGCTACAACCTCTTTAGGCCTGGGCCTCAGATTTCTGAATCTGTTTCATGATCATTTTTAAATCTCATAGGCAACTAGGTGATTAGCCTCCAGTGCCTGACACACGTCGTCGACTTTTTGGGTCTAAGACATGTCGGTTTCCTCACGATGTTTTCCTTCACCGTTCGAACGAATGTTAAATGCGCACAGAAAGAAAGTCCATTGGTGCACAGCCGGGGATCGAAACTAAGACCTCAGGGATGAGAGTCGCACGCTGAAGCGAACACTGCTCCTGGCATGATATTAATTAGTCAATTACTCACACTAAGTAGGATCTTTCTATAGTACCTAATATTATATAGAAATACTATTTTAATAATTCTTTCACTATGGGATACTAAAAGTAAATAGCATTAACATAAAAACCAGTGGCACCATAAGCTAGATCTTGGCCTCAAATTTCTTTATGTGTTTATTGTTTTATGTTTCTCAATCGGCAAGTAGGCGATCCGCCGTTTGTCTGATTGTTAGATGTAAGAAATGCGGCAACCCGCTAGCAAGACTGGCTGTGTACCATAGAATATATTTTCAAATTAAAAAATAAAATAATCACGGGACATATCGGTTATAAATAAATCTATCAGACAATAAAACATAATCAAAGATATTTCGTAAACTTGTAACACGTTAATTAATAACTCAATGTCAGTTGAAAATCAATGATAAGTCAACAACCTGAATGTAGGTTAATAACATCAAACGGCCAATAAACAACATATCTATGATAATTTTCAATGTTTTCTTTGGCAGGTATTGTTAGACATATCAGTTAGACATAATTTAAAAAAATAATTAGTAACCAGGTATATCCTTTTCACCTTGACGCCTGGCGTTCCACATTCCACAACACTTTCTGCGCCCCACCTCTTTGTGGAACCAGCTGCTAGTAAAGCTATTTCCGAACCGATACGACTTAGGAGCCTTTAAGAAAAGAGCGTTCCCTCAAAGGTCGGCAACCGTCTCCCGGCGTTGCAGCTTAGCTATAGGCCGCGGTTAGCACTTAATTTAAAGTTACAGGAGGCAGACGGGCGGGCAGGAGGCTCACCTGATGTTAAGTGATACCGCCGCCAATGGACCCTCGCACTGCCAGAAGGCTCGCAAGCGCACTGCTGGCCTTTTAAGAATTGGTACGCTCTTTTTTACCCTAAGTCGAATTGGTTCGGAAATACTCCAGTGGGCAGCTGGTTCCACACAGTGGTGGTGCGCGGCAGAAATTGATTTAAGGCTACTAGATAAATAATATTTCTGACAGTTCTAAAACGCCGGAAATAACCAAATTTATTTCTTCATATTATAGTGGTTTATGTTTTTTTTATCTAAAATGTATAAACAAGAACTTATAATGAACAAAATGCCTCACCCAGTTAGCCAGACTGAAAAACAAATATACTATGTAAATACAACGATTAGATATGATTACGAATATCAGCTAGTTATCAACATACAGTATTTATTTCACGGTCTGGTTTATGCAAATATGCAAAAATATCTTTATTATATGAAAAATCAATATAGTAACTGAATATCTAAGTTTTTAAATCACTTTTTTGATTAATTTTACCTGTTTGGAACAATTGCCCACGGATTAAACAAAAGACTCTCAGTGGGAAAGCGTATTAAGCGGAATGATGATTTTATTACAAAGCTCACAGTCCACTAGAACTAGGAACACACTGAAGGAAAGAAGCTAAATTCTACTGTTTACTTTTGTACTACAATTTATTTAATATGAAACACAGTATGTACTGAACAAAAACATACAGACACAATAGTGAATTTCATAACAAAATATACATAAAACTCACCATTCATATACCAAGCAACAGGAATAAAATAATTTCAAGAAGAAAACAATAGACAAACCTCTAGAATCTAAATACTTATCTACCATAAATCTTAAATAACATTGTGGCAAAGTCAAAAGTCCCTACGCAATTTAACCACATTCAAACAAACGCGTCCCAAAATTTACTTAACCTTCCTATAAACTTGAAAGACTCGTTAATTCTTTGTCAAAGACCCTTTCAAGTTTGGCAAACAATGATATCATCGCTCTATATAATACCCACTATTTGCGGCGTCAACCGATTTGATCGAGTAATATATTATGTAAACCTATTCTCTGTTTTTAAAGTGTTGAATTGTTATACATTGCGGCTATAAAAAGCGTCCTTGGAAACACGAGTTTAGAAATAAACACGCCATAGGTCGGAATCCGCGGGGAACCTGTTTTCAAATGAGATTTCAAATTTAGAACAATAGATAGTTCTGGTTTTCGCTTTTTTACCAGAGATTATAGAAAAATCACAGAATAGGTTTAAAAACAACGATGTGATAATAATAATCAAATGCTCTAGAAAATTATATGTAATTATATATTATGATAATAATAGTTTTTGTTTTACTAACAACCCGCGACCCTTTTTCAAAGTATTGTTTATCCAGTACAAAACCCAATATAATCCTTTAAATTAGAAAAAATATATAATTAAGAAATACCTTACTAACGTATCATATCATTAAACTCATTTTAATACACTTGTCGAGTATTTTAAATTTCGAATAAATATTTTGGCAGAACTATTATCGTTGTCCTTAACGTTGCCATTCGAAATTGATTATTTTGAATTGCGAAAAGAATATATTAAGCGTAGCAATACTGAGTGATTTATAGGCTATTTACAGGCGCAGACGCAATACCACGTGTTGAGACGGTGCTTTGCGGTTCGCTGGATGTATCCGATCTAAAATACATCTCTGGGTCAAAGCCAATTTTATTTACACGTGATAAAATACGAGGATTCATGCTTTTCATAAATTTCGCATAAAACGAAATTGTTATCAGCCAGCGCTGCCCTTCGTTATTTTGTCGGAGCGTGATGTTTAAAATAACCTATAGAAATGAACTATCCAAATCAAAAGATGGTTTATTCGAATCTGTATAGATCCCGAAACTGAGGCAAGCGCTCAAAAGGGAAGTATTTTTTTCCGTATTTGCTACATTTTTGATGGATGCTTGGCTACTATTGATCGAAATAATTAAAGCCTATATACTTGCTGATAATTTACCTATACGTTAGTGACAGATTTTTGCTATACAGCGATTTTTGAGTACACAAACAATAATCCAATCTTTCCTCTGAAGAATCCTGATAATTTTTTGTTATATTTATCCAAATCACTACTATCAAACATTTAACACGTGAACAACCCCAACAGAGTTATCAAGACAAGGTAATGAGGTTATCAAGCGCGTACATAAGACTTAAGATACCCTGTGAAAGCTAAAATGTGGCTGCTTTGTTGTCTTTTTCTCAGAAATTGTTAATTTAAAAAAATCTATACTTAACAAAACATTGAAACTGTGGAATGCGCTTGGGCATATATTATGGTTAGATACAGGAAACGAGTCTCTTAGCGCGAAGTGTACTGTACTTTATGTCAAAATCCATTTCTTGTATAGATCAGGGGACGAACGGGCAGGAGGCTCATATGATGTTAAGTGATACTGCCGCCTATGGACATGGCTCGCGAGTGCGTTTCCGGTCTTTTAAGAATTGTTACGCTCTTTTCTTGAAGGACCATAAGAATAATAATAATTATTGATTTAGTGTTGAATCTTAATAAATAAACGCCAATAAAATTTTACACAAAACTGCATTTATTTTAATGTAATAAACATAAATCATTTTTACAAACAATTCATATTTTCCACGAAACCTGTGCATGCATAACAAATTGGTCTGATTGAAATACGATCGATTGTTATTATTTTTTCATTGAAACTACGTAAATGCCGTGTTTGTATTATTAATTGTAAGAAATCAATTCT